GAATGTGAGCTGGAAGGTCATACCAAATGCAAGCATGAGCACCCAATACATGCCAGAGTGGTAGGGAATAGCTTGGTTCTTCAGTGAAGTTTTGCCTCAAGAAGTACTGACTCTTTTGGTGGCTGCGTCTGGGCAATATTATTATTGGAGATTTCTTCTAAGTGCCCATTATGCAAGGTCTTGGTAGCAGATAATTGCTTTCCTAGCTAGAAGTTGTTCTTGGGTGGCCTGAGAATCTTGGAGCTATGCTGTCCTCCTGAGCAATATAGTATATCAGGCCTCAGATGTTTCTCGCAGCAGTCTGCCCAGGTTCTTGAACATGTTAGAAAACAGGCTAGGTCATTTCAAGCATATATATCACAAGCGGGAAATTCAGGACAATATTCTAGAGACTCTTTTTCAAGAACACAGTTAACCAAGAATGACTCTTTCCTTGCATGTTAGTAGGAAATGCCACTCTTTTTACTCTAGGACCAGAATATCTTCTAGACCCCTTTTCTATCAACCGTTAAGGGAGAAAGATGCATTAATTTCAACCACACGTGTTCTCCTCTTCTTATCTTCAGAGCAGTTTGGAAGATAAAACAGAATAATGATAATCATCTTAATAGCTCAAGTTGGCTGATTCAGGTAGCACTGATTTCAGAATCTGCACTAATACCAGAATCTGTTGGGCCTTTCAGTACAGCGCCCCAAGCCATTGCCTTCATACCAGGATCTCTTAAGGATGACTGTAAGGCAGATTTGACATCAAGATTTCAACTTCTCTATCCCACATTATTGAGTCTGTTTTTTTTTTTTCCTAATACCCGGAGAACATTTATTTGTCCTTCAGCGAAACAGCCTGATTAATAGTAGAAAAAATGAAAGGCAAATTTATTTGGCCAGCAACATGATGCACACAAAAGTCAATTTTCCTTTCCTTGGCCTCGTTGTCTGGAATTTTACACAATTTCCTGGATGAATCTGGGTTCCTTTATCAGCTCAATCTGTTTGACGGATATTTCAGCCCTGCACTTTTAGGCTGATAGTTACTTTGTTTTTGCTGACACTACAGTAATTCTATCTTGAAGGATTTGGTAATATTTTTCATCTCCTTGATGAACTAGTTTTTCAGTAGAACTGTGTTCAGTAGTAGTAGTAGTTGTTTCCTCTCTGTCTGAACACTTTTGAGACCCTAGCTATGTGAATGTTGTTTTAATTCTCAGTAAAAGCAGACTTTCTAGTTGACTTCCTTAAAGCTAAAGTAACTCTTAGCCCTCATCCCAAATTCCTTCTTATGGTAAATGCAGGGCTTTACTTTGACCAGGCTGTTAACTTACTAGTATAGGTACTTGTCCAAACAGCATGTATCCAGGACTGAAACATTGCACATAACGAAAACATTGTGCATACCCTGGATGTCAGAATAAATTTTATTTTACTTTGATCAGACTAGGTGGTTCAAGAGAACCTTCCCCCACTGCCCCTCTGACCATTTGTGTTGACAACAGATACAGGAGACAAGCAGTTTTGATGTGAAGGTTGTTTTGCTGGATAGGATGTTAAAGCTTGTTACAAACTGACAAAGGTGGATATATCTGCCAAAGCTTATTTTACTCAGTCTCAGGAAATATCAGTGGTTTTTCTGTAGAACATTTCTGTCACTGAGATCTACAAATCTCTGTCTAGGTTTGTACTCGCATTTTTACAAATCATTAAGAGTTGTTCTTCAGCCTTGAGTCAAACAGAGACTCGGTCAGATGTCCTTCAATCTCTCTTTTATTAGTTCTTTTCATTTACTGCTGGAAGTCGCATATAATGTGAATGTAAACACAGATTTAGAGAGAAAGGTCGCTCACTTGTAAAAACTTTCTTCAAGATATGTTATCTGTACATAGATGTCTACCCATCTTGGGAATTCTCAGACTGTAAGGTAGGAAGGAACACTGTTTTCTTTTTTGCCACTGCATGGAGAAGAGGGATCTATGTGTGCCGTCATGAATACCGCTGAGGATAAAAACTGTCCAACCTGGTGACACCATAAACAAGCCTACATACTCAACATATCTCAAAGAAGAGTAGTTTCAGCTAAGTAGCCTCACCTTTCCTATAATCTTAATAATTTCAGTGTGACTGTTGAGAGGTGAGAGTTTGATTAAAGAATAGATTAATTTTCAGACTTTAATTTTTTAATTGCATATCAAAATGTTTTGTTCAGTTGAGACACACTCAACAAACACCTACTCTGGGCACAGAGATGCTCATTTGAGTGGTCAGAAATGGTACTTAGAAACCCAGCTTTAAAACTCCGGTTCAATATATATTGAAGAAAAACATAATGAGTCTGATTAGCATTAAAAATACATATTGCTTCAGTAGTAAGCTATGTTAGAAAAGCAAAAGCTATATACCTGGGTGAGGACTGGTAATTATTGATAAGGAAGCAGTATCAAGGCATACTTTGTATGCTGTTATGTTATATGTATGATATTGTGTGTATTACTTTATATAAAAGTGACTTTCGGATAAGACCCTAAACAAATTAAGTGAATGTTGTGCTTTAGTGGTAGGAAGAGAACTTTGGCTGAAACTAATCTAAATAACATGCTAGCTGAGTATTGTATATAGTTAACAGTGAGATAGCTATTTCAGTAAGAGGAATGTCTGTTTGACAGTAGTATATTTTGCAATTTGCACAGTACTAAAAACAAATACAAAACCATTCATATTGGCTGCTCACTATGAAACAAGTAGGTGCCCAGGACTTTCTGAAAGTTTTATCGTCTTAATGTATTTCAAGGTACATAACCAAAAATTGATATCCTCTATCATGAGTCACTTTTCAGAATGTTAAGATACATACTCAATTTCCAGTCTGCAAAGTAATATCTTCCTGTTTGTATTAACTACTGTAAGATAGTGAAAAAGGCCTATGTAAATGCAAAGGGTTTTTTTTTTCCCCAATTTTTTTTTTTTTAACTATTTCTCCTATTCCCGTATGAAATCTTCCAATCTGGTAGAATCTTTTGTCTGAAGATACTTTATTGCTGTTCATTTAATGATGTGGTAAACACAAGTTAAAACACTTTGATGCCCCAGAATCTGTTGTGAATGAGACTAACCATCTCTATCTGTATTCACAATTTTATTTGATATATACTTCTTAAAATTAAAAACAACTGTGCAGATGTGTTGACTATGTAGTGATAAGTGTTGCAGAGATTTGTAGATATTCACTGGTTAGTTTCAAGGCAGGGTTATTTCAAGGCTGTCTGGAATTAATTTAGAGCCCTTCAAGCCCTTCACTGAATCCTTCCATGGACTAGTCTTAAAAGTCAAGGCCTGTGCCAAATACTCTGGATTTAGAAATATCCTTACATCAATGGAATTTGTTCATAATTTAAGCATGTATGGTGCACTGTCTGAGCTCAGTGATCTGTCAGAACAATTGCAGACAATGGCCATTACGTTGCCAGAAGCTATCTTACGTTTGTCGGGACAGGCTCAGATTTCGGCTTCCATTGTTGTTAGTGTTGGAATATGTGCAGTAAAGATGGCAGTACCAAATGAAATGTGTGCTCTGAAAACAGGGATATGCATGACAGCAAAGCTGTTAAAATCCATGTGGCAAAAATAGAAGCTTGGCAAGCACTAACAAAAATTGTCTGACGACAGCAAGCCTTTTTTTAAGACTAAAGCTTACTCAAACAAATATTTTTTCCCTGCACGTTAATTCTGTATTGGCGTGTTTCCTAATCAAAAACTGAGTACATGCTAAGAATGGGCTGAGTCACATTTTGAAAAGTGTGGGCCACAAATACCAGAATTGTTGCCTAAATAGTAAGTTATCATTAAAAGTTTAACAGTTCTAGAGCAGTTGAAAATGCCTATAAAGAAAAGTGCCACAGAAATCCTGTGTCTTGCCATGAATGTTAGGTCGCTAGGTCCTCTTTCTTAAAAAAAAAAAAAAAAAAAATTCTGTACTTAGCTTAATGTAATCTAGCAACTTTATATATGTGAATGTATCTCAATTTTTCAAGCAGAAATTTTGGCAATAATAGAAGGGGGGAAAACACATTGTGAACCTTTTATTGTATGATCTACGTATAAGTACTCATTGTAAAATATTTATAGACTATAAATGCATAAATAAGAAGGCAGTACTTTGTCTAGCTATTACTTTAATGTGGCGATAATGTCTGTGTCATAAGGAAATAGGAACCATTAATGGTCTCATGGATTACCAAGACTTTATCTGTATCTCCATGTCACTAACTGTGATTTCCAACCTTTGCTAACAATTATGAGTAATTCTTTCAGAGGCAGAAATTTCCAAAAACTTCATCACTAATATAACTGGTATAGCATTCATTCATGATCTCATGCATCATTCATAGACGTCTGTCTCTCTGCGACATATCATCTGCTGAATGTTTGATGACCCTTTGGTTTTGAATCACTTATGCTCATTGCAGACAAAAGTAATTCAGCCAATCTGAATCACAGCAACAATGCATATATTTGAAACAATTTATCCAGCTGTATGCACACTGAAATCTTTTTTAAGTTCAGACCCTTAAAATAATAATGGCCATTCTTTTTCATTGAAATAAAAAGCTTAGCAGATTTTAACAAAATTCCAATAATATATTTTGTAATACTCCCATAAATAATAATAGTCCTGCAAGTATCTGTTGATGATTCGGAGACAATACTATGTAAAAGGCTTGATCATACCTTCTGGACTAGTAAGCAAGTTATAGCTCAAAATATATTTTTCTTTTACAATCAATGTACAATTAATGTATCTTATATAGAAACCCTTCCTCATTTAGAATGAAGAAATAAATTCAGGACCAAGAAAGAACTAGCAACAATAGCTGTATGCATTTCTCTCTAAATATATTTTGATAGTTGTATTAAAACAGAAACAAATCAAAACTATTTTACTGACCAGCATACGCTACAACAGGTTGAGTATGTTGAATTTTGTACTCCCTTTTTTGCTCCAGGGTTGGACAGAAAGAACCAGGCTCCTTTCTGCACTTCTCTTCCACGTGGATTCTTTCAGCCTGTTTTCAGCATTGCCTGATCTTTCCCAGCCAGCTTTGATGATCAGACAAGGTTAGTTGCCCTGGAGGGGCTGCCCTGAAAAGGACAAATGATGATGTCAGTCCACAAAAGCTATGGACTTCAAAAATAAGGAGTAGAGGTTGAAATTTTGTGTAGTTAACGTTTCTCATGACAACATACTAAATTGGTCAGTAATTTAAAAAATGTTAAAAATGTTTTTGGTAAAGTGAATGCAAGACTGTCATGGGGAAAGAAATTGTCTGTGCTTCTGATGGGTACTTGCAAAAGAATAGGAAAGGAGTTTGGCATCATATATGGAGACAAGTTTTTTTTCCTATTTGCAATACTAAATACAAATTTTTTTCTTTATGAAAACTTTTAAGAGCATCTTTAATTGATTCTAAGGACAGGTTCTCATGTTTGTATCAACTGTCTTAAATTTTAGTCTTCAGTCTTAACCTCGTCAGTGAAAATGTCATCAAATATGACCAATATCCTACAAAGTACTTACATTTAAGTATGCTTTACACATTCTAAAATACCCATTATTGAAAAAGTAAATTTATTACCTGCATTTATGCAAATATAGACTGTACATATTGTCAAGAGAATGAATTTGTCCAGTTGCTCTTTGAATCCATGTTCAAATGACCCCAATATTCTGTTGCAAGGGTTTTCACAGCTCAGTTGTGAAATGTGTGAGGAAGTACCTCCTTGTCTTTGTTTGAACCTGGCATTTTCTTGCTGCCTTTAATGACATCCAGTTCCGGTACTGGGGGACAGAGAGAAGAATCAAATCCATTCAGCATCTCTGTGCCAGATGTGATCTGATAGATGTTCATCACCCCCTTTATCTGTTATTTAGACTGAAGACTCCTAATCTTATAAGTCATTCTTCATATGAAGCTGTTCTGTAGTTGAAATTATTCTTTCAATTTTTTCCAATACCTGCCTCAGTTCTGCCGTACTGTTTTACGGTGGGAGACAAGAATTGCACAGTATTCAAGCCTGAATGGTTGCAGAAACAGCGTGGATTTATACAGTGGCATAAAAATGCCCTTACATTTTGTTCTCTTTCCTAATAATACCTAACATTTGATTTGGCCATTGCTGAGTACCAAACATATGCTTTAATAGAGCTATCAGTTGTATATTCATGCCTTTGAAATGATCCTGATTATGAGGTTGCCAAGTGTGATACTAACAGTGAGAAAATATTTTCTCCTAAGGCAGATCCTTTCTAATTATAAGATTATTTAAATGTGAGAATAGTTTTAGATTTACTTTTCTGTCCTGTAGTCTTTTGTATTGTGATTTCTCTATGTAATGTAATATGCTGATTGCTGAAAGTTTGCCATTCACTTATTTTTATGTTTCTATAATGAAATTTGTACTTACTTAATCATCTTTTTATATTAATTTAAATCTTATACAGAACTACATAAGCATATCTTAAATACCAGTATTACAACTGTAGTAGTTAATCACAGAAAGCCTGTTTGATGCAATTTATTAGTATTATAAAATTAATACCTGTGAAATGGCCAACTGTGATAAATCTGGTGATATTTAACAGTAGATCAGATAAAGCAGTGACAAAATCTCTGTAAAGTTGTGTGCCGTGTTGCCTTATCCATGTATCTTACAACATGGTTTGGAGAAAACAGTTTAATCTTCATGGTCATTCAGCGTTGTTTTTTCTGCTGTGTCTATCAACTGTGCCTGTGTTAACTGTTGCCTTTTATTATGTGGATTTCTATCTACTGGGAAGCTGTCTAAAACTGTCAGATCATTTGACACATGCCACTTTATACCATTAAATATGTCAAGGGTGAAATTTTCTCAGGTGCACACAAGGCTTATGCATCACTTAAATTTTACTGACACCCTAATTTAAGGCCTTTGTTCAAATTCTCTAACAACTTTGGGTGACTTAGAAAGAAATACCTTCTAAGTAAAGTAATGGGCTTATCATTAACATCAATAATTATTTGCCACATTTGGGGAAAATATATATAAATGCTTTTCTAATTTGATGCCATTGTTATCTTAAAAGGAGCTATTTGGTTTGGCCTTCTTAAAATGAGCTATTTGGTTTGGCCTTGTTCATTCTTTTTCTTCTCTGATTTTGTATTTAAATATTGTATTCTAGCTTCAAGTGCATCAATGGAGAATATGTTGGATACTTCTTAAAACCGATGCGCTAAGATGTGATATCAGAAATACAGTGCAAAACCATTGGCTTTACCTGCCTATACCTCTGCTCAAGCTGATCCTAAAGGACGTACAGGAGGAGCATTCAGAAGGAAGTAAATGACTTCCTGCTACTGTAAGCTTTTCCTGGTTTCTGGAGATTATCCCTGCCTCTAATCTTCTCTTCTTTTGCTGCTTTGGGAATAAAGTAAACAGTTACACTATCTGAAGCACTGGAGATTAGCTGAAACTCCATCCAGTGTCTGCCTCAATGTACTTTGTCTAGTGTGTCTGTAAAGGTGAGTAAGTAGCTTACGTGCAGTCCTTTTTGCTATCACAGTACTTGAATCAGTTTGCTTTAGAAGAAATTTTCAGAAAAAAATCTTGTTGGTTTAGTTTTGCATGATTTTTCCATCCATATAAAAAGAAAAATATTACTTAAGAAAATACTTAAAGTTGTAATTTAAGACGCCTATGCAATAGTTCAAATAGCTTCCAAAAATTCTTCATTTCTATTGCTTTTATTTAATTCGGACTGTTAGGTTTTTAAAATCCTGCCTTTTTATCACCAATAATGTGGTTCCAAACATTACTTCCTGTGCTTATCAGTATATAAACAGAAGAACAGAGAGTCTTGGCATAGTTTAGCATTCTATCAAAACTAATGTACTTTTGCCAAAAGAGAGGAAATATCTGTCTCTATTGTTCTGTAACTGTAGGTGGGGTAAACAGACCTTTAGGGAGTCACTTATTGCTGTAGGAAGTTATTACAAAATGGCATTATAGCAGAGACTACAGGAGTATTTACTGAAAGTTCAGCGAAACTTGAAAGCTATTCAGCCCACTTAATAAAATGTTTATGTATCCTGTTTCAATGCACATCAAACAATGTTGAAGAAAGGAAGTCATTTCATATCAAATGAATTTTTATTAATCACAAAGCTTAAAAATAACAAGTCAGATCAATTTAAATCAGTCTGTGTAGTTTTTTTCTAGACAATATTGTAGCTTTCTACAAGAAAAAAAGACTTGTACAAGATAAAATTCTCCAAAGATAAAAGGTATCATCTGTCCTATAATAATCGAGAGGTAATAAAATACTAGTTTGATTTGAATGACCATGATTTCAGCAGCTGGATGCTTGTTTAAAAAGATAAAACATGAATATAACATTATTTGATTCTCTTTTGTCCTCATATTTAAGTCATGCAATTTTATAAACAAGTTCTCATAGTTTTTTTTTTTTTTGACTCACTTTTCAACTCTAACTGAATAAAAAATATTTTTAGTTGTTCAGGATAAGAGATCTAGTAAGCAACTCAGTTCTCTATTATGGACTTTTAGTTTTCTGTCTTTAATTTGAGAGCAAAAGACCCATTTAAAAATTTAGAAATTAATCATATCTGAGCCTTAATTAAGAAAGACATAGCAATAGTCCCTAAAATAATTCATAACAGTGCTTCTCATTTAGCTGTTACATAACTTCTGAGATTTCCTGTTTCCTTGTTTTCAAGACAGAAATATAAGAGGATTTCCAGTCTGCTACATCTGATTAACAGTGGCTGTTGTTTTACTCCAACCAAACTATCTTTCTTTGGTTTTTACCCTTTACTTCTTCTTCAGCTTTTACTCTTTGTTAGCTGGGACAGTGTACGAAAACTTAATTAGTTTGGGAAGCACAGTTCTTTGTAAAGATAAAATGGGATAAAAGAACTACAGCTAAAATATAACTTTAAAACCTGCTTGTAGGGATTTTAGAACAAGCAGGATTGGACTCTTTAGTCTCCTGAAGCAAGATGTGCAATTTGTACACTTGCTCTCTACACAGGATTGAATTTTTTTTTATGAGTGCCTGAATAATTTGAATTTGAAGTTTACATCCTGTCTTCAGATGTGTAACATTTGGCTTCTGTTTTGTTTCAATGTCCTGGTACATAGTTCTTGCAGCTTCACTTTTAGCTCCACTGCTACTCTGTTGCCCTTCTACCTGTAGATCTTTCCTCTATCTTTTTTCTTTTGAATTTTGCTGTCATGAAAACTCTTGATAAGGAAATTATTATGGTTGGAACATCAATGTCTTATTTCTAGTGACAGCAAAGAGGGGGGTCTCTTTTCTGGGGCAGAGACACAAGGCCTGAGTTGGCCATGTTACGAAGAAAATAAAAATAAGGCAAAGACATGAAGTGTCTCAGAAGAGAAGAGGGAACGGGTCCAATAAAAGAAAATAATGCTAGTGTTGTTTAATATTCTTAGAGCAGTAATACTTAGAAGGTACAGCCTGAAATCAAGGCCTTTCTTCTACCTTTTCTATGTGGTAGGTGCTAAATATGTTCACATGGAAGACAAGACACTTATCTGAGCAATGGTATATTTTGCCTTAGAGGGGAAAAAATTGTAGTGACGGAAGAACAGTGCAAACCTAATACTGATGGCTATACCCTCTCTTTTTGAGTGTCTGCACGCACTCAAAAGGATTCGGCAAGCAGATTCTCACGGCTGCTTTAGAGGTAGCTTTTGTGATGTTGGCAGTATTTAGCAGAGTCATTTTAAGGACTAACTGTAATCATCTGTACGTACTGCTGCCTGTGGCTGAGGTTCTCCCATAAGCTAAAACGACTGTAAGAAAGTTTGTTCTCCTGCTTTCTTCCTAGCTTGTGAACATGAAGCACAGAAGTTAATGACGAGTTTTCCCAAAGCACGGTGGACCAGTGACAGTTAAACACAAGGCAATTTATAGAATATCTATTACAACTATATAATATTTTATTTCAGTGCCTTTATCTGCAGGGTTTTAGAAACTGCTCGGGCTTTTTCAAAGCTGACAAAATCGCAGGCCACTTCCAGAGGGCGGAACGGCTGCGCTGCAAGTCCCACGCTGCAAGGGG